GCTGCCACCGCCACCGCCCCCGCCCCCTCCACGGTGTCCTCGGGCCCTCCAGTCACGCCCGCGGCGCCCGCCCCCTCCGCAGACGGGAGCACCGCCCCTGCTGGTGTTGGGGTGCCCCCTCCCGCCACCGGGGGCGGCGACGACCCGTTCACCTGCCCACTCTGCTGGAAGGTTTTCAAGAAGCCCAGTCACCTCCACCAGCACCAGATCATCCACACGGGCGAGAAGCCCTTCTCCTGCTCCGTGTGCAGCAAGAGCTTCAACCGCAGGGAGAGCCTGAAGCGTCACGTGAAGACGCACTCGGCTGACCTCCTGCGCCTGCCCTGCGGCATCTGCGGGAAGGCCTTCCGCGATGCCTTCTACCTCCTCAAGCACCAGGTGGCCCACGCAGGGGTGGGCGCCGGGGGGGCCTCGGCCCGTGTACCCCTGCAGCAAGTCCTACTCAGCGCCGCAGAGCCTGCTCCGCCACAAGGCCGCTCACGCCCCGCCACCTGCCGCTGCGGAAGCGCCCAAGGGCGGGGCATCCTCGGCCGCGCAGCCCCCGCCTACCTTACCCCCGTGCCCGTACCTCCTGGCCCCCGACCCTCCCGCCACCGACAGTGAGAAGGCGGCGGCAGCCGCGGCGGCGGTGGTGTACGGTGCCGTGCCAGTCCCGCTCCTGGGCGCCCACCCGCTGCTGCTGGGCGGCGCAGGGACCAGCGGGGCAGGAGGCTCGGGCGTCAGCGTCCAAGGAAAGACGTTCTGCTGCGGCATCTGCGGGCGTGGCTTCGGGCGCCGCGAGACCCTGAAGCGCCATGAGCGCATCCACACGAGCGAGAAGCCCCACCAGTGCCTCGTGTGCGGGAAGCGCTTCCGCGAATCCTTCCACTTGAGCAAGCACCGCGTGGTGCACACGCGCGAGCGGCCCTACAAGTGCGAGCTCTGCGGCAAGATCTTCGGCTACCCGCAGAGCCTCACCCGCCACCGCCAGGTACAGCGGCTCCAGCTGCCCTGTGCCCTGGTCCCAGGGCGCATCCGGGGCCTGTGGGCCCGGGGCCTCAGGCACGTCTGCAGGGCTCACCGATGGGCTGAGCTACGCCTGCTCGGACTGCGGCGAGCACTTCCCAGATCTCTTTCACGTCATGAGCCACAAGGAGGTCCACATGGCAGAGAAACCATACGGCTGCAACGCCTGCGGCAAGACCTTCGGCTTCATTGAGAACCCCATGTGGCAGAAGCTGGTCCACCAGGCCGCCCCGGAGCACCTGCTCCCGAGCACGCCTGGCGGCCCGCAGCCCCCGGACGGCTCCAGCGGCACGGATACGGCCAGCGTGCGGGACAACGGGCTGGTGGCGGAGGTGAGAGCGGCCGTGGCGGCACAGGCAGGGGTGTCTGGGGGTGAGGACGCAGGCGGGGCGGCGGTGGCAGGGGCCGGCGGGGGTGCCAGTTCCGGCCCTGAGCGCTTCAGCTGTGCCACGTGCGGCCAGAGTTTCCAGCACTTCCTGGGCCTAGTGACTCACAAGTACGTGCACCTGGTGCGACGGACCCTGGGCTGCGGCCTCTGCGGCCAGAGCTTCACGGGCGCCTACGACTTGCTCCTGCACCGCCGCAACCATCGGCAGAAGCAGGGTTTCCGCTGCCCGGTGTGCGGGAAGCGCTTCTGGGAGGCGGCCCTGCTGATGCGCCACCGGCGCTGCCACGCGGAACAGCAGCCGTACAGATGTGGCGTGTGCGGCCGAGGCTTCCTGCGCTCCTGGTACCTGCGGCAGCACCGCGTGGTCCACACTGGCGAGCGGGCCTTCAAGTGCCGCGTGTGCGCCAAGCGCTTCGTGCAGTCGTTCAGCCTGGCATAGCACCGGTGGCTGCACGCTGTGGCCCGGCCCCAGCGCTGCAGCGCCTGTGGCAAGACCTTCCGCTACCGCTCCAACCTGCTGGAGCACCAGCGGCTGCACCTGGGCGAGTGCGCCTACCACTGTGAGCACTGCGGCAAGGGCTTCTTCTACCTGAGGTCCGTGCTGCGCCACCAGCGCACCCACGAGCCGCTGCGGCCCGAGCTCCGCTGCCCCACCTGCCTCAAGGCCTTCAAGGATCCCGGCTACTTCCGTAAGCACCTGGCTGCCCACCAGGGCGGCCGG